TGCCATGGAAAACAATATGGTGATTTCTCAAGAAATTAAAACTATAATCACCATATGATACAACAATTTCACTTCTGGATATATATCCAGAAGAACTGAAAGCAGGATCTTGAAGAGAGATTTGCACACCCATGTTCATAACAGCATTATTCATAATAGCTGTTATGAATGTGGAAGCAACCCCAGTGTCTATCGATGGATGAATGATAAACAAAAAGTGGTCTATATATACAATGGAATATTATTCAGCCTTAGAAAGGAAGGAAATTCTGACACTTGCTACAACATGGGTGAGCCATGAGCCATGAGGACATTATGCTCGGTGAACAAGCCATCACAAAAGGACAAATATTGTATATTCCACTTACATAGGCATCTAGAGTAGGGAAAATCATAGAAAGTAGAATGGTGGTTGCCAGAGGCTGGGGAGAGGGGCTAATGGGGAGTTTAATGAATTAGAGTTCAGTTTTGCAATGAAGTAGTTTTGGAGATTGGGTGTATAATAATGTGGCTAGACTTAACATGACCAAAAGGTACACTCATAAATGGTTGAGATGGTCAATTTTATGGCTTTTTTTTAACCACAATTAAAAATAATTTTTAAAAAATTAAAAACTTTCTTGAATGTATGCTCCAGCCAACAAAATTTATGATTCAACTGTGAGGAAATCATGGTATAGAAGGACCAGAAGTAAAAACTGAAAGCAGGTAGGTAGACTTATGAAGTTAAGTCAAAGTAAGTCATTAGAATTTTGTTTATAAGACTGAATTCAAAGCCAGAAATAATCCTTGAGAGAGAACATATAATATTTAATTTTTAAATGTAATCTGAATAAGAATTTTATAATAGTAGTGACTTAATATCCAAAATTAAATTACTAAAGATCAATAACTACTGGTGGGAGAGGGACAGAAGATTGTAAAACAAACAAAATTTCATAATTTAGACCATAGGGATTCACAAGATGTTGCTTCTTTCTTAAGTCTGACAATTAGAGAAATACAAGTTAAACTATGCTTTAAAAATATTGAAGTAAACACTAGTAAATAATAGCAGAACTGAAAACAGCATAGATAAAATAAATGGATGGGTAAAAATAATTGTAGGCAAATGAAAATGAAATTAAAGCACTAGTAAAATCAAAATAGTTTTCAAGATAACAATTATGAAATAAAATAAAAAGGTTATTGATATAGATAAAAATATAGCCCATAAGAGATAACATAAAACATCATATACTGAATATCATAGACTCAAAATACACTATCGGAAAATAAAACCACAAGCATTCTTTGACTGAATAAATTAACAAAATCAATTACTTAGATAATTTAAATAATGTAATTCATAAGACTACATTGAAACTAGCCTCATTGTAAGCTGTGATTCCACTATAAATTTTAAAACACAGAAATTCTACAGGTTACATACATGGACCGATAATTAAAAACAATAAAAAAGAGCCAATTACTTGGATGTTTAAAAGATAGTCTCCTAAAGAATGATGGAATAAAAATGTAATCAAATATATAATAATAATAGATTATTTAGGAAATAAAGAGCTAAAAAAACTTGTGGGATGTGGTCAAAGCTATCATGAAAGGCAAATTTTTATCTTAACTCTTTTGGCTATTAAAAAAAGGAAGCAAATATATCGTCTAAACCTATGCTGTCCAATACAGTCACCATTAGCCACATGTGACTACTTGTGCTTGAAATGTGGCTATAAAAACGAGCTGTGCTGGGGCTGGCCGAGTGGCACGATGGTTAAGAACTGGCTTGGGACGCNCCATACTTCCCCTTTAGCTGACAACTTCCCTTTCACAGAAACACTTCCCCAAAGACTTGTCCACATTCATGTCCTTACCTCCACGACTCCCCAGCTTGGCCTACTGTGGCTCCTGTGCTCACCCCACTGACCTCCTTGTTGCCAACTCCAGGCCACTTCTCTGTCCTGGTCCTATTGGTTCCCCAGAGGCTGCTCCTCCTTATGGTGGGAAAGGACAGCATGTGTGAAGAACGGGCTGGCCCCTGCTTTGCTGAGGGTACACTGTGATGGTTCTCACGGTCTCCTGGGACCTCCTCTGACCCACGCCCTCCTGGCTGGCCTCTTGCTTCCAAGCTACTCCTGTGCCACCTCTGAGCTGGCTCCTATCCTCCCCTCTCTCCACACCCTCTCAATGGGTGACACCATCTTGTCCCCAGCCTTGAGTACCAGGTACACATCAACACTTCACACAAAGCTCAATTCGTGTCTCCAGGCTAACCTCTTCCTGATCTTCAGACGCTTTTACCAGAGCTACTGCAGGACAGCTCCCTGGGATGACCAACAGGTCACCCAAACACACAAAACCAACTCCTGGTTTTCATCACCACTGTTTTTCTTCCAGCCTTCCCCATCCCAGACAATGGTGCCACAAGGCTAGTCAACGAGGAGCCCACGTCATTCCCTCCCTTACAGCTCATGTCAGCAGGTACTGTTGGTTCTAACTCAAAAATATAACTGGAATGCAAACAGTCCTCTGCCTCTCACAAGGGGACCCCAATGGCCCCCTAATGAGCTCTCAGCTTTCACATTTTCCCCTTCCAGTTCTATCCATGAGAGCAGCCTGGGTGACCTTCTAAAGTGGGTTATAATGTCTGGTACGGAAAGTACCCCATTGACTTCTTGCTTCTCAAAAGTCTCTTGGTTGGTCTTATTTCTTTTTCAGATGAAATTTAGAAGCAAATCTTTTTGTTGTTGTTGTTAATATATATATACTTAAATGGTAAACCAATCCTGTCCAAAGATCCATTCAGTCAAGTAATACTCACTGCAGGAAGTGTTCTAGATTATGAATTTCTGCAGTCTGAGTTAATAATGCTTTCTTTTGGGGGACTAGTTCTGTTTATGTCAACTCAATAAGTAAGAACCTAGCTTTTCTAAACAGAAGCATGGACGTAAGGGGGGGGGCACGTTTCTCCTTTACCAAAGGAGCCATCACTTTATAAGTGGTACACGCCTTGCAGCTTTCCTGGTGCATCTGAGGTGAGTCTCGATGACAGACATTGCCGGCGCGCTGAGACCCAGCAGAGGATAAGGAGAGCGGGCGTCTTACCTCCCTGAGGCAGGTGTAGATGGGGCAGACGAGCACGCGGAAGGGCTCGCCTGTGCTGCTGCGCATGGTGCCGAACACCTCGCACAGGAAGGTGATGAAGCCCAGCCAGCGCTCCACGTCCTGCTGCTGCAGCTCCTCCCGCACCGTGAAGTCCTTCTGCGGAGGCACAAGAGACCGTGTCAACCTTTTCGGCGCTGCCGGGCATGGGGAGGGGCCTAGGAATCACTCGTTTTGCTGTGGTACCTACTGTCTAAGGGCTGGTCTGGGGTAACTGGTAAAGCCGGTGTTTTCAAGGAGGAGGGGATGGGTGACCTGTGACTGAAGCATGAATGACAGGACAGGACGCACTGTGCACAGCAACCACCCTGACCTTTGGCCACAGCACTTGTTCTTCAGTGTCCCCAGATGGGGGGCAGGGGTGTCC